ATCTCCTCTTCACTTCTAACTGCTGAACTTGTTGTAAAAGTGCAACTCGCAGCAGACTTGTGTCTCGGTGTGAAGGCGGGAGGTTGTAGTGGAGTTCACTTAGAGAGTAATTTTTTAAGAGGCTCTTTGCAGTTACCTAATGCTTACAATACTCACGGTTTCTCACACTTCAAATAAAAAATTACTAGTAGGGCGTAATCGTTTACTACCACAGCTCGTATGTCAGGCGGTTAAATTTGCTGGAACGTCACTTCTGAACCACAAAGGTGTCTGAGGTTGTTATACAAAAATTTATCACATTATCATCGGTTACTGGCCCATAATGGGAGAATCAAAGGTCAAGGGCATTAAACTAAGCGCCCAGTGCGTTAAATGTGAGATAAAACGAAACTACAAAGGAGACTCTGGAAAATATTATTTTTGTGACAAGGCAAACTAAAAAGGAAATTCAATCAAAACTTTGGAAGATCTATTTTTGAATTATTTGGCCGTAATATGCCCTCTTCAAAGATACGCATCAAAATACTCTACAATTCGCGATAGTTTTTCAACTTCTTCCCCTCGCCTCAACAGGTCACATGATGATGATATTAGTGGGGTCATTCCTGTGGATGGAAACGTACTTGGAGTCTGATAGCAAAAGGTACATTATGGGGTTACAATTTAACCAACCAATTAACACTCTAGAAGCTAATTCACCAAACTAAAGTTAATGCCGGAGAGACACGGAACATTGCTCGTAAACTCAACTTAATTCAATTCTGTATGAGCTATGACATAACGATGTAAAAAAATTGTCTATATAAACCAAAACGCCTTGTTAGAAATCAAGTGATAAGTGATGTTTTTGTTTAATTGTGTTTTAAAAATATCAAGACATCACAAAACAAATAATCGCATAATTTCGTTAAATTGAAATTAATGAGTCTAGGTGAAACACCTTAAACAGCTTTAAATTTCAAGTCATGATATCCCACAAAAATCGCAAATTACGTCTAAACAGACTCCAAGAGGCTGTGTTATGCTAATTTCATTTTCAACATATGAAGATCATAAACTGTTTGAAATAGTTAAATAGATAATAACATTTACACCTTGGGGCGACACATGTATGTGGAAAAGACATTGATTATAGCCTTATAACCATTCTAATACTAGGGCGTAAATGGATAAATAGTGCTATCAAGCTCAAGAATAGTCTTCCCACTCATAAAATACCCAAAACCACTTGAAAAGCATAATAGATCAGCCAATCTGTTTTTGTGAAGTAAGATTTGTGTTACTTTGTCATGACCTAGACTATGAAGACAGGTGATAGTGGCACCACTTTTATGAGCGTTCATCATTAAGTTCAACATCTGGTAGCTCCATTCTCAAATTCCAAAAAGTATTTAGGCATAAGGTGCGTTAAAACAACCAATTAGTTTCAAAGAAGAAATACAGAAGCCCAAACAAAGAGAATCGGAAAAAAAAACATCTGGATGGTCACCTTATTTCGTTTATACATAAAATTCGTCAAAAGGTACAAAAAGGGTGTTAAAAAAAGGAAAAAGCAATCATAGAGAATCAAAACATGTAAAAGATCGCACCATTCATATAAGTTATCTAAAAATGAGTAAAAATAGCGCCAAAAAAACCTATTGATGAATCAGCTTTCAAGAACTAGTTACATATGGGGTATAAGACGGTACCTTCTGAACGGCTGCGTTGGACCGTTTCTGCATCGGCGTGGAGTCCCCAAGCGACCTCCTGCACCAGCGCCTCGGTCTCGCAGTCATATCAAGAACCAGGTGACCCCTCTCCAGACAGAATGTGAGATCCAAAAGCTGCGGCGGATTGTGCAAGGGAATTGAACCCGCACCGGGTCCCATAGTGATCATACGATTGCATGCACGCACCCCACCCCTTGAGGTGAGGTGGCCTAGTAGGGCCTCCACGACCTCCCATGCAGTAGGCACCGGATAGAGGGTGGTCTCTTGGAGCATCTTCACTTGCACTGCTAACCAGCCGTTGTAGGGGGTGCTAAGGCTATGCGGTTGCCCTGGAAGTGCGTCACCGCCAAAGCGGAGTGCGATGAGAAAGGCAGGCTGGTCGAAGGATGTGTTGCTACAGTTGCTGTTGGCGTCAGCGTCGTCTAAGGAGTCGTCCTCGATGTCGTCGGGATCGAAGAAACTCACAGAGCCCACGCCAAACCACAAGCGGGCCTCGACCGTCGTGATGTCTAAAGACGAAGGAAGCGGTGTCCAGTGCTTAAATACATACTTTTTGAAACACCGAAGAAGAATGCGTAACTTGGAAAAGATCATAGGGATAACCATGAGTAGGCAACTATGTTTGATAGTTCATAAGAAAGTGGTCCAGTGAAAAGGATTTATTGATGGCATCAAAATCCATAATATTAGGGTTTGCCTTTGGAACGCGAGCCATCGAGCCTTTCTTTTTACAATCTAATATGACTGTTGCGAAAAAAGATGCGTGCACAGTTTGGAAATTTGACCCCAATGGCATTGGTTTTGGTTGCTAATTTAACTACGCAAGCCCTTTCATTCTCAACGTTGGCAGTATGAAGTCCTGCTTATGCTGCTACCCCTTCAGCGCCATCCTCCCCCAGTACGTTACAAAGCTACTTCTATGCGCCTAAGAACTGAAACCCCAAATTTAACAACTAAGCGACCTCCAAAATTGTCATCAAGTGTGAATTTGGAATGGAACTCCATCAATCGTGTAAAGAATGCCTGGGAGTCTGGTAATAAAGTGATACGAGCAGGGCACTACGACACGCATAAAAGCATTGTGCATCCATACATTGGAAGAGTTGAGCATCAATGATTAAAGGGCTCCACTTCAAATCCAGAATACGATTCAAGACTGTCTGTTTTACAAGACGGGTTTAACTCGGTCCTAAAGTAGCAAAAATTAGTTACTCTTACGATCTATGGAAAAGGTGCCGCAGGCAGTTTTGGAACTTACGGCACAGACGATGATTGAAAAAGAAATTTGATTGCAAAGACATGACATTCAAAGTTTGATGCACCATATCAGGGCAGGCAGTACGTTCAGCACTACTTTAAAGTGCATTATAAAACAATTTTAGCTTGCAATTAGTAACGGTTATTGTGTTCCCAAGTTGGACCAACAAGCACGTCACAATCTACGTTCAAACGACACACTACCCACGCCACACTTCCACACTACTCACCACTTCATCAACACACGACTACACTCGCCTCACCTGTCTGTGTGTGTCTGTATGCGGTCAACTGCAGACACGCTTCCTCATCATCATCACCTCTTCACCTGTTTCAAACCAACCACAACCACACCAACAACAACAACAACAAC